GTGAGAAACACTCTAATGCAAGCTTAATTTACAGCAAGGTTAGAAGGGCTCATAAAAGTTGCTTTATGAAGGATCCACTCTTGTATAATAGAGCCAATTTCCAATTTTAAGACAGCCACTGCAAATCTCTACAAGATCTATGCATATAACTAGTATTATGCTTATTCTTGTTCAGATTTCTTTCCAATTCAACCATAACTGATCACATTTGTCAATCAAAAATACTCTTCAAAAGGAAGAATGAAAGTCATAGCAAAGTATTCAGCTTCCTTTTTTAATCATACTCTTACTATTTGTCCCATGCATAGCTCATACAAAAGAAGTATCTGAACAATTCCTTCTCTCTCTCACGTGCTTACCAACTGTGGCAGTAACACTCACTTCTTAACCACAGTCTGTGCTTCAAAATGCACAGTTAACAACACTGACAACATTGTCACAACATACGCCACATTCTTTTGGCCAAGAAGAGAGGTAGTAAGTACACAAAAACTCAGTATTGGTGCCTGGCCACACATCCTACATGCTGGTTTACACATTTTCCATACTACATATCACCCCACAAAAAGCTGTGATCACTGAGTAAAGTACTTTGCATGGCACAAATCCCAGCTGGTGTGGCAACACAGTCCTGGAATGAGGCAGGGACAAACTGTTCACAACGATTTGTGAACAGGCTGGAAAGATCAATTTTCTATCACTGCAAACTAGGACATCTCAAAAGCAAGTTTATATACAAGGTAAAACTGCTCTTTCATTTGGTTTCATGTTAGGAACAAGTATTTCTCTCTTTGCATACACCATTATTTAAAGAAAAAAAAATGTACAAAAACCTACCAATAATGTTACCTATATGAGAACAAATTGTAAGACAGTAGGTCATGGAAACAGCCTAATATATGAAACACATGGCTCAGCGTTCTGGAAAGAGTTTGGTTTTGGTTTGGGTTTTGGGGTTGGGTTTTTTTTGGTTGGTTGTTGGGGGTTTTTTTTAAATCTCATGATAAAATAATTTCACAAAGTTATGTCCAATTTGAATTTTTCTCCATTGGCAACTCTTTCTCCATTAAGATTCTTGAACAACAGAGTTGAAAAGCCCCAAGAGCCTAAGAAGTCCTCAGTATGTTTCCAGGGCTGCCAGTTTTAACTAAATAATTGTGTGCTTTTAAATTAGGCTGTGTTGGCTACATATATACTTGGAGCACATTTTCTTATCTTTGTCCCAAGGCAAAGCCATAGAACTGTGGTGGTTTAACTCTAAGATGAAAACTAGCTCTGTCCCAGCTGAAAACCAGGACAGGATATGTTTAGAGTACTTGAAACCAATTACACTCTTCCACACTTCTATAACTTAATACCAGTATTACTAGCAGGTTATACTCACTTCTGTTTTATAGAAAACTCTCCTTTGGAACATACTAAGAAAGAATATTTTTATAAAAAGTTAGTTATATTAAATGTATAAATGAACTCACACTAGGATCAATATTAAAATGTCAGTGAAAATACTGTAGTACACTGTGCTACACTAAGACAAACACAATGCTTTTGTATTTTTGTATATACACTTTCACCGGTAGAAGAGCTCAGTGTTCAGCACATACATGCTTATACTTATTACGTAGAAAATTTAAAAAATAATTCTTGTAGCAAGATTTTTTATTTTTTTTTTTAAACAGGAACTATTGTGGAAGTATTCCTTTGAGTGCCATGTAAGCTCTTCTACAAACCAGGCTGTTCATACTATCAATTAAACCTTTTTAAACCATTTAGTTCTGCATAAACCCTGGCCTTTCTTTTTCAAGGACAAGGGCGGTCACTGACTCGGGAAGCCTTGACATCACTCCTCTGCCGATCTCTGATTAAGTGGCTGCTGTAGAGGGTTAGCAGGTCAAATAGCACTGGAGGAGGAACTAAGAAAAACAGAATGCTGCCTTATTTATTAGTATATGTACCTAAAATAATTTAAATGAAAGTATTTTTAAAAATACTTAATGGAGGTTAAGCAGCTTTTTTAACCTCTGTTCAAATTATTGAATGGCATATTAAAACCAATGGAGCTATAATGTACCTTTTAATGTGACCTGCTACTTTAATAAATTGTGTATGTATTTAACTTGAACTAAATTTATCTGTTTAATATTATTACTAAGGGTAGGTTAATATTACCTATAGTTTCACTATATCTACCTACTTTTTAAAACAAAAACATTAAAATATAACTACAGAGCTCCCCACTTATAATGAACATCTATACTCTGTTTACAGTAATATAGTAAAAAATCTTGACCTGATACATAACTGCAGTATCACCTACTTGTAGGGCTGAACTTGTAAGCAGTCCTTGTGAAAGCCAGCATATCCCTAACACAGCAAGGCAGGTGAATGCTTTCTAAGTGGCATGTTTGCCAGCCTCAGAGTTTGATCCGCCATCTCTGTACCTCTTGCCATGCTCAGCTTTATGTAAAAAGTGTCCTTACTGAAGAGCTTGTACTCTGCCTTCCAAATCCACATTTTTCAATAAGAGGATAGCTGCTGTCCATAAAACAATGCTATTTTACCTCGTATCCAGTGAATGGGCCATGATGATTTGCATATTTTCTCAATATCTAGAAGAACTCAGCCTAACCTTATTTTGGACACGTTGAAACTGCAGTAATAACATAGATTATACAACCTCTGGCAACAGAACAAATATTTGAGATCAGGATGTTAATACTTCTTTCTCCCTCTCACAGTTTGGAAGAAATGGAAAAATTATTGATAATATAAGTAGAGACATGTCAGACACTAAGCTGTCTAAACACATATTAAAAACTTTATGAACTATGATGATATCCAACAAAGCAAAATTTACGATATCAAATAGATTGTCTTCCAATTTCCTTACCTGGTTTACACTCATTACACCTTCTCCCCTGATGCTGAGGTGAACAGACACACTGTCCAGAAACCTGGTCACAAACTGTTCCTGTCAACGTGCCCAGAGCATCACAGTCACAAGGCTGGCAGCCGAGGAGGTTGCTCACACTGAGGTTGTATGTATGAAGCATGCACTGACTGCACTGAAGGCCAGTTACACCAGCTTTGCAAGGACACTGTCCTGTTGATTTGTCACAAAGGAGAGAGCCATTTACTGTACCTGCCTTATCACAATTACATGGCAGACAAACAAAGGAATTATTCTCCTGTACTTTGTGGTAGCCATATAGGCATTCGTCGCATTGTCTTCCTCCAATATTTGGTTTACATGCACACTGCCCTGTCTTCGCATTGCACACAGTTCCAGAAAATGACCCTGCAACGTTACATTCACAGGCCTTACAATCAGTTACATCCAGCCCATAAAAGTTGTCCACGCAGGTGTCACAGTGAAGTCCTTTCACTCGTTCTTTACAATTGCACTGCCCAGAGAGAGGGTTGCAGAATTGGTTCACTGAGCCATGGCTGTTGCACCAACAAGGCTCACATCCAACTTCATTAGAATATCTGAGAGCTTTAAATCCAAAATTGCAACTATCACACCTAAGACCTAGAAAGAGAAAAGGTATTAATAAAAAAAAAAAAGCTGAAAAGCTTTTAATTTCAATTTTAAAAAAGGATAAGTATTCTACATTTGAAAAAAGAAAAAAAAAAAAAGGAAACTACTAATATTCTTCACCAGTATAATTAATAGGAATGACAGGGCTGCACAAATCAATTGAATATGAGTGGCATCCCAAAAATCTGTTTACTTTTCCAATTTGTTTCAGAAGTAATGCGCTTCTGCTGTCTTCTCAATACAATTTGAGATACTTCTGCAAGAGATTCTCTGTAACATTTCTAAGACAAACCAGAATTAATCTCTTTGTCCTCCAAAACAGCACCTGTTGCACAATCAATGCTTACATGAACTCTTCACCCTATATCACAAAAATGCAATATACAAGGATTTGCACTGGGTTCTCAATCTGTTCTGATAACGGATTTATATATTATATTAAAAACATTAAATGTACTGTAGGACAAGACAAGTTAGACTAATTACAATGAATTATTTACTTAACACTGTACTTCAGTTTTAACATTGATTACATTTATGTTAGTGTTTATCATTAGCTCTTACTGAAATCAGAAAATGTTTTCCATAATCAAAAATGAAATATTTTTATCTAAAAGTATGATTTAGTTAACTCCTGCAGGACATTAAATTCTAAACTGTTTTCTTCATACTTCATCCTGTAGTTTTATTAGCTTTGTTTTCAAAGTCATCGCTTGCTTTATCCCTGCCCCAAGGGATGGCATTTGTATTTTAGTTTATAAAACGTACATTACAAGAAAGCAAACTAGATTATTATATGAAAAATGCAAATTCACAGTTATGTATTTTCCCTTGCAGTGGGAAAAGTCTTCACTATGAAGCCCTCACTTAATTGTTGCGTACAGAAAGATACAAATACATGTTCTAGCAAAATATTGTCATCATTTAAAAAAATACAAAACCATACAAAAATACATCTAGCAACTTACATGTAGAAAAATAAAACTAAATACGGTAGGAAATGCTTTATACATATGGATAAAAACTCCAAAACTCCAATAGAAGGCAAGTTCCTTTAACAGTGATGAATGACTCACCTAAGGCATATCATTTAATTTCAATAAGGAAAATAAAAAAGGACCACTATTGCTGCAAATTTTAAAAATAACTGTATTGTTAACAAGAATTATGACTCATTTTGAACTATTAAAATTGGTCTACATGGATTCATATCATATCAGTTTTAAAAATATGCGCAGTGCTTATTTGAATATGCCATACATATTCCTGACAGGTAATCTATTCCTAACGATACTGAGGAAGGCCTACAGGGCATCACATTCAATGTTAACAAGTACAGGGGAGTTAGCATGCTTGGCATTTAATTCACATTCTTCTACCTTTTTATTCTAGATGAATGACCTACTTTAATAAAATTATTGGTGCTAATGTATTTTACTGGTGATAGAATCATTAGTAAGATTTAACAGTTGTGTTAACTCTAACAGTTCATGTTTCATAACATGCAGTCCATAGTTGCATTTTTCTGTTATCATGTTTGTTTAAATAGATAAAATGGCAATAGATCGATTACTCTAAAAACCAATTTAGAAATACAAAGAGGAAAGCTCTTTGTTGAAGTTTGTAGCACACATTCCAATATACAGAAGCTTATTTACAATTGGTTTGGAAAACAGAAAAAGAGAATCCAGTCTGGAAAGAGCAGGTCTTTATCCTGCAAACAAACATTTGCATAACTACAGCCCCCCACCATAGTTACAGATAAATTTGCAGAAAGCATAGATTTACACATTTTCTTGTATTACTATTTCAGTGGAAATAAAAATAATTCTTATTGTTTTCATCAAAGGGAGCACATATTTAAAAGAATATGTAGACAATCAATTATGTGAGAACCAGACTGTGCATTTCTTGTACCAAAGTCCCACTGAGTTAAGAAAGGTTTTCACAGATGCAAACGTGAAATGTAGGCAAAGAATATATAATTAAGAATGCTCTGAAGTCCTTTTTAATTAATGTAGAGAGTGGTTTTAAGATGCACACAGGTTATTTTTTACTCTTAGCATCCTTTTTATCATAGGGAAAACATAGGTACTTGGCTTTCCATAGGAAAGAGGACAGAAACTGTTCAGGCTTATGTCTGTTTAGAATTATTTTCATTATTAATTGTTATTTTGTATTTTCTTTTAGAAATTAGAAGAAAGAAAAAAACAAAGATCCACAATATTACAAATGAATCAATATTCATAAGTCAGTGAGTTCTAAATTAACATATACTTCAACATTGTTAATACAACCCACAACCATGGTTACCTAAAGAAAAAAATAGATTACTAATTGTGTTAATAACAAAGCAGAAAAGGATTTTTTTTTTTTTTTTTTGAGACATATGTATAATCTGAGACATCTACAGTTACCATGCAAGGCTCACTTTATCAGGAAATTCTCCTTGCATAATATTCCCATACATCAACATTTCAAAGTGTATTATATATACTGTGTATTTTGGGCACTTGATAAATTTTGTCCTTATGTGGCTGTGGCTCCCCTCAAATATGCTGGAAGTAATAAATTGCTATAATCAAATCTAATTTCTGAAAAATACCTGTGGGAGTAACAAACAAAAAAGCACGTCTTGTACAAAAATGATAAATAACACAGAAGGTAGCAGTTTATTATAATCAGCTTGGCATTGAATTACAAAATTAAAATTATGTGGCCCTTGATAACTAACCCTAGCTATGTACATGATCTGTGGAATTATGTTGACTTATTTTGCATTTCATAGGAACAGTTCAAAGAAATATAATAGAAAAAAATGGATAGATTTATCACAAAGGACCCTGTAGCACAGAATATTTTGAGAAAAAAAATCCATTTATTTTGGTCTATTAAGAAAACTAGCATGGAAACGATTTGCTTAGAACTCATTAAGTATAAAACATTTTGAAAAAGTGTTAATTTCCTAAAAGAAACATCTATGCAGTAAGCAAATTACATTATTTCTGTGACTTATTAGTATGGAGCTATGTAAGCTAATGTAGCTCTGCCGTAAAAAAAACTTCTAAAGGGTTGATTAAACTAAGCTTCAAGCTGTAGTTTGATAGGAGTATTAAATTAATAATTTTTCAATAGTTAATTTCATTCATTTTCATAATCCGCCTTCAGCAAAGAAGTTTACTATACTTTTTATTTAGAAATGAAGTGTGTTTTATTTCCAGAGATAACAAGAAAAATGGCTCTAAACTCTTGCATTACACATACCAATAACATTTGCTTTGCACTTGCACTGGCCTGAATTTTGGTGACAGGTAATATCTCCATTGACTGTCCCAGAGGTATTACAGTTACAAGGACTGCAGCCATCAGGGTTTGACTGTTGTAGATTGTAGAATCCTTCCTGGCACTGATTGCATTGTCTGCCAGACACATGTCTCTTACAATTACACTGGCCTCCAATCTAGAAAGATACAAAATATTATAGAATGATGAACGTATCTATTTTTAGATGATACACTCATTAGCAACAAGAATGAGAGTATGTGTTGGGGAGGAGAAAACTTTAAATGGAACAGAAAAAAGTAAGCCTGTGTAACACATACTTTTTTAACTTGTTGAGAGAGAGAAAAAAATATTAAACAGACTGTAGCTATTCAGTTTTTAAACAGACTTTAAAAGTCCTGTTCTTTCAAAACAGAAGAAAAAAAGAACTGAGTAAACAGTGTGGCAATATTTACCATCTGGACAGAGAAAACTGCAAAGAAAAATTACAAAATTGCATTGTATAACTGGTGACTTCTATTAAAATCAACTACTTTTTTGAATCACAGTTACTGCAAAACACTATCATTTTCCAAGGTCAAATTTTGGGGTTTTTTGTTCACACCGAATGTTTATTTATTTTAGTGAAAATGTTAGTTAAATAAGAATGAAGCAAAGGTTAAAGATTTCCTTTCTGATTACTCATCCAAGACAAATTTTCTCTTCCTTTACAGAAGAATGTAACCCAGCAGCTCAGTATTTGAAATCCTCTCCTTATTTTCTTGGTTTAGCTGGGATCCAAGTGTTCCAACTTCTGTGGTGGGACATAAAGGCCCTTTCTTACTCCTTAAATGGGTAGCATTGCCATTTGGAAGAAGCTGAGGCATTCTTTGTTATGCCTGGTCCATAATCAGGGAACATTTGTCTCACATCTTGTGCGAGATTAAAGGGATCCTAGAAAACTATCTCAATTTCAAACCTCTGAAAGCCAAAAATAACCCACCTAATCTCTATATTCACCACTTTCCAATATGATGGGAAAACTGACCACAGGGAAAAGGCAATGGCACAGGGATGGGGAAACAAATGGTAGACATCAGTCAATACATAACATAGATGAGAAGAGGAAGTCAAAGCAACACAGAGATGCAGGAGATGAGAACTGGAAAAAGGTTTAGGATTCATAATCAAGGAAAAAAACCTAACTTTTCTAACTCGAGTGTTCTGGAGAATGCAGAGATGGGCAGCAAACAATTAAACACTGTGTTATAAGTAATTTTCTCTGAGTCAGTGTATTTTTTCGGTGCAAATATTTACAAATATGAAAATATTTACAGTGATTCAAAACTAGTTATTCACCTACAACATCAACAGCTGTAGTTTAATGTACTTTTAATTAGCCATGAGAACAAAAATTTCTCTTAACAGTTGCCTTTTTCATCTTAAACCTATGAGTCAGGCAAAGCTGAAACAGGAGAGTCCTATGGCATTAGAGACAACGCTTCTTGGATTTTCCACTTAAAATAAATATTATCACACCTTCCAATCTACAATGGAGCTCTGAGCTTTATTAATACAAGATTAAATAGAGTATTTCAATATCTAATAGTAAATTGTCAGTGCAGAAAACACTGATGAAAAATTAGAGAAGCATGAATTCCTAACCCCTTTCTCATAAAAGGATTCTGTAGCCCAATAAAACCTCTTCAATATGCTTTCATGATAGAGATCTATTACTGATGTATCAGCCACATTTTTTAGGAAGATGAAGATATTAAAAAGGCAAGACAACAGCAAGTACAAAAGGGTAAGAGAGTTAAGACAGACCACTACAGCAGAAAACACAGCAACAAAGATTTTCAAGTTATTCCCTTTTAGAATGGATTTGAGCTAGATATTTAGTTTATTGTAAGAGACCCAGTCATGCATCACAGTCACTCATCAGAGAACTCGCATGTGAAAAGCAGCTCTGAGTTTAACCCTAAATTAAGAAAATTACCTAGTTTAAAACATAACTATAAAAGAAACATCTTGTGTTAGTGATCATAGCATACTCAGATTACACAATAGCAAGTATTATATAAAGATACCTCATTAGCACTCAACACAACTCATACCCAAAACCACTTCAAAATTAGTCCAAAAGCTACCACATGAAGGAAAGCATTAGATGCAAAGAAGTCAGTGGAAATCAAATCAAAATAAGTTAAAAAAGAGAGGATAATTACCACAAAATTTTAAAACTGGAATAAGGTAATACAAAAATCAGCTTTTAATGAGCAACATGCTTAAGGCATTAAGGAAAAAAAATTTTTTTCAAACGTCAGAAACAAAATAAGACTACCAGAATATCAATGAGGGCAATAAATAATTAAGTGGTATGATTAGCAGATTCGGATTGGACATAAGAACTTTTTCACTAAGAGGGAAGTGTGGCATCAGTAACAGGTTGCCCAGAAGGGATGTGGAATCTCCATCCACAGAGGTATCAAGACTCTTCCAGATAAAATCATGACTGGCTGGATCTAGCACTGACAACAATCCTGCTTTGAGATGGAGCAGATGACCAAGTAATGCTTCTATGATTCTGTGATTCTATGATGCAGGAAAGATAGAACCACAACAGAGATTGCAAAGAAAGTATTTCACAGCTGTTCACTATGAAAGTGGTGTTACCATTCGATATTATGAATTATTTTCAAGATTGGTTTTAAACCAAAATGCCAGAAGGAAAAGATCTTAGCAAAATCTAATCTGTTGAAAAGTGACTACATGAGTCAAGAGTTCTAGATTAATTGAAATATAAAATCACTGAGTTATTAATTGCTTAAATCAACCTCAGTAAAAGGAATAAAATTATAAAGGTTACATCGATCTCCTTAAAGAAAAAACATGCTTCATGATTCTACTGCATTTCTTTAAGTCAGCAACATCTGGAAATATCACATATACTCAACCAAATGGATAATCAAAAAGTCAAATTAATTTCTACATCAAGAAGTACAAACTTAACATCTGGGGAAAACCAATGCTGACCGTAGACAGACAGTGATGAGTCCAAAATTAGCTATTATCACTCAAGGAAGGAGCTGTTAAAGCTGTTCCATTCACCCTAAAAATAATTTGAAAGCTCTGAGGCAGCTGAAAAGGCAATAGGAATATTGGAATTACTAAGAAAATAACAAAATTATACAGAAAATGTCATTCTGTCATAAAAATCCATTGCGTATCAACATTTTGCACAATTTGTATACCTGTTTACCCTCTAAAATAAAAGAGGCCACAGAGTGAGTAGAATAAGGAAAGATACAAATGAAAAGAGACTAAAAAGACTTAGTTTGGAAAGAGATTACTAAAATTAAGGGAATACATGCCTATAAAATAATGAAGGGCTTACAAAATGAATATTCATTAATTCTCACAACATAAGAAGGTGAGAACAGATAGAAAATTATCAGAAAACAAACTTAAAAGAATCTAAAACTACTTTTTCTGGGCATTTCAAGTGAATTGAAAAACACTTTTATTTTTAAGTGCATTAAAAAATGCGTTAGATTAATTCCATATATGGACACCAAACATGACAACTCAGATGAAACCCCTGGGTATATCTCAAGTGGACACAAAATCATAAATAACTGGAATACAGAAAAGTATATCACAGAAAGATCATGCTTCTTAACATTAGTTTCTGGTAACTATCAGAGAGGATACTGTTCTAGATGAAAGTCTCATTTCATCCAGTATGGCTGTTCTTATCATAAACACACGGAAACCCAAGGTTAATTGTGAGCAGATGGTAGCCATTTCCTTATGTAACAAGTGAAATGTGTAGATTACTGAGTGCTAAGAGAAGCAGAGAGCACCAATATCTTCAGCATAATTTTAAGTGTCAAGATATTACAAGAAGCAGTAATTTCCATCCCATTCAGTTGCAGAAAATTTATGTCCCCAAACTTTCTCTTAATAGGGTAAAAGATCATGCCAGAAGAATAAATAAAACTCTTTGGAATGAGGGAGAAATATCTGGCCAGCTGAAGATTACAATTCAAATTTTCTCCAGGAATCAGTCAGTGAAACCATTTGGAGATCTCTCTATATAAATTTCCCCCTACCTTGCTGCCACGTAGAAAAAAGTTTCCCATCTCTAATCAATACAAGTGGCAACTGATTTCCTGGTTCTTTCATGGCAGTTAGAGGAAGATATCAGAAACTAAAGTTTTTGTTAGAGAGGGAGGTTTATCAAATTGCTTTTTAATAGATCTGAAAATAGGTTTCTATACACCAGATTAGATTATCTGTAAATAACCCACTAACATTTTTCCATAACACTGATTTCAAAGTCATGTGAAAAAAAAGTCAAGCAGAAAAAAGACATTCTATAGAGAAGACAAAAAGGATTGTTTGATTGCATTCACAAGTTACGATTTCGTTTTTGTCTTGGCTATAAGTGACTAGAAACCTTTCCACTGTGTTTCCTCAGCCATTTTTTGTCAATACAGGATATCAAGATGAAAGATATCTATTGAAGTTTAGTTTCCAAAACACAGAATAACAAATTCAATTATATAACTCCACTTTAACCCTGTCTTCTATAGTAAGTATGGCATTATAAGAGACATGAGTACCAGCTAAGGGAAATATGCCACTGCAATGCACTCCATATTACACAGTTTTTATCCTTCATATACTGCATACACTTCACTTCAAGTAGCTGTGTAGAATTTTAGAGAAAAAGTTGAGAAAGATGCTCCAGATATAAATAGTAGATAGAGGGGAAAAAAGTAGTTAAAAGGACTTGTAAAACAGGGAAGGTTAGCAGGATTCTGTAACTACCTGCCCTGGATGCTAAGCTCTTCAATGTTTTCAGTAGCAGACTGAAGACAGAAAAGAGAATATGCTTACAATCCTCACAGGTCACCCCAGCTCAGGAGGCACAGTCAGCACCATCACAACTCTGAAGGCACCAACTTAATGGCCCCGAGCAGCCTCACCTGTGGCCTCCACTCACACCCTCTGCCACAGCCCACCTTGCCTGGGCTATGCTGTGGTTGTGCCTGTCCCCTGACTCCTGGAAAGATCACTTGGACTTAGGATGCAGCCATGTTTTCAGCCTCATCTCCTGCTGGCTCCAGACTGAAGTCCCCGGATGGATCCTGGACCTGATTTAACACTTTGCCTTGTCTGGGGTTGTCATCG